GGTTCCGTTAAACTTGGATTTTACAGTATACCCATCATTAGACTTCATGAATGTGAGAAGACTAAGCTTTTGTCAGAACAACCACGGAGGTTATGGCTTGCGAAGATAAACAGGCAAGAAACTCCCTCAAAACACGCAAGAATATGCTCGGAGCACTTTGTGTCAGGTGCGTATCGTATCTTATAATGTGTTGACAGACGTAATTTACTCAGTACTAACTTGTGTATGCTGATATCTGGTAACTTGAGAGTTTCATTATTTAGCGTTAGATTACTTTATTATGAGGAGGATCGGTGTCGCGTCCGAGGCTCTCGAGGGCAACGTAAATGTATTAAATAGATAATAATAGTTTTATGGTGGGCTAAAACAATGTTCACAAACAGCATTGCTTCTGTAAAAAGATCTGTGTCATAAAATAAACTGCTCTTTACGCCTGGAAAAATCAGTTGCCCACCATTCACCAAAACATACGGTCAAAAACGCGGAAATAAACAGTAACAGCAATCCAGAGTGTCCGTGTGGCATTAGCATTAATTAAATTAATTGTTAATATAATTAAAATAATTAAATGGAGCTCCAATTGGTATTAAATCTAAAGTTTTTGAGAAATGTTTGCATTGCTTGTTAATTTTTGCTGCATAATTTGATCAAATATGTAAAACATGTCCGTAGCACGTTAAACTGTGGTGCCATTGTATTAATATACAATTATTTGCTCAAAAGTTGCCCTTTTTTTCCAATTTGCGTTTGAATATCTACATTTATTCTCATTCTTCTGTTTAATGGAATGCACAAACACAGCAGCGTGCCATCAAAGATGGCGTCTCCGAGGAGGTCATGTGACATTCATTGGTCTGTGGGAACTATGTATATTAATGTTGTAGTGATGTCTGCGGTGCAAACTTAAAGCTGGGGTACCTAAATTCCAGACTGCAAGCTGTTACAGTCAAGCTAGCCTGGTCGTATCCATCCGTACACTCCGGTCAATCGTCATTTATCTGCATGTAACGTCTGGGTCTGGTCCCTGTGTTTGCGATTACAATCAATTGAACTCCATCCGACCAATCAGAGAGCGCGGGAGGCGGGTGTGGTAATTAGTTTTGGGTGACGTCAAGAGTTTGCGACGAACGGGAAGGTTGTAGTTTGGTGAAGAATGCGAGAGTAAAGTAATCCGGTCTGGTTCTATCAAGAAATTGAAGCCGGAGCAAGAGGAATGTTTAGCAAATGTAATCGCTGCAAAGATTGTTGCGCTACTCCCCACGGGCTCCGTTAGCGGCAAAGGAGATGGCTAAAGCTAGGCTAAATGCTAACGACTCACTCCGATGCATCACATACATCACGGTAAACTCAGATCAAATCGTTTCTATCTGCAAAAGAAGTTAACCCCTCCCACCTGTTAACGGACCAGACCTTGGTATGTAATGTAATTTGTACTATGGTGTGGTAAGGCCAGGCTACAGTCAAGCTAACGGTTTACTTTATGCATTTTGGCCTGATCAAGGGTTGACATCAGACAGAAAAGTTTTGCCCCGTGACCTGCAGGTGAAAGCCAGATCCTGTCCGACCAGTTAGAAGCTAAGCAGGGAAGTGCCTGGTTAACACTACGATGGGAGACCTCTTGGAACACCAGCAGGACACTGTGAGGCACTCAAAAGCATTGCTGTTTTGCCGAGCTACAACTGAAGGGTTGAATCTTTCACTTTTGAACTTACTGTGATTATTTTTTATTTGAATGACTTGTGCAATAGTTTTTATCTTGAGTTGCCTTGTGTATAAACTGTGCCAAACAAATAATCTTGCCTTTTACTTACATTTCACATCCGGGATTTGTTCTGCTATTGTAAAAATCCTGCTGACGACTGGACACTACTTACCCCAGCTTTAATCCAGTATGTACTATAATAAAACGGGCAAAAAAGTCATATTTACATCATTTTGAGTGTATGAAAGATTCATTTGGGCTGAAAACTTTAAGGTGTGGATAGACACAACTTACCCATTGCCATGGAAACAAAGAGTCCTGAAGGCTGCTCGGACTCTTCAGGACTGCTTCAGAAAATATATGAATACCTATGACTGTAATTTATGAAAGAATCGCGGCGGGTGATAAAAATGAGAGTGTTTTAAGTGATTTGCATTTGAGATGTGAAGGTGTAGCACTTAACACTTTAAAATATATTTCTGATTCGAGCGATAGTTTAAAGTCAAGGTTGTTGTTTAACTTAGACATAAATCCTTCTGCATCACAAGGTCCAGGAAACTGTGCTTTCTGTTGTACATATTGATTCAGATTCATGTATTTGCCATTTGCAGTAAAACCACCTCGGAATACATTGTTAAAAGTCCCCGGTTTGCACATGAGACAAGTACATACATAAAACAGGAAACAATTGACACTGTGAAATCGATCGACTAAAACAGTTTCAATAAAAAGGCAAGATCATTAAAGTGCTCTTTTTGAACTGATTACAGCTCGTGGGAAGAAGCTGTTTGCATATCGAGATGTCCTGCATCACAGAGAACAATATCTTCTGACAGAAGGAAGAAGCTGGAACATGGCTTTTCCAGGGGCCAGAAGAGTCATTGATTATTGAGTGCTCTGTTTAAAAGTCTGGTCTCTCTCTGGTCTCTCTCTGATCTCTCTCTGGGCTCTCTCTGGTCTCTCTCTGGTCTCTCTCTGGTCTCTCTCTGGTCTCTCTCTGATCTCTCTCTGGGCTCTCTCTGGTCTCTCTCTGGTCTCTATCTGGCCTCCCCCTGGTCTCTCTCTGGCCTCCCCCTGGTCTCTCTCTGGCCTCCCCCTGGTCTCTCTCTGGCCTCCCCCTGGTCTCTATCTGGCCTCCCCCTGGTCTCTCTCTGGCCTCCCCCTGGTCTCTCTCTGGCCTCCCCCTGGTCTCTCTCTGGCCTCCCCCTGGTCTCTCTCTGGGCTCTATCTGGCCTCCCCATGGTCTCTCTCTGGTCTCTCTCTGGTCTCTTTCTGGTCTCTCTCTGGTCTCTCTCTGGTCTCTCTCTGGTCTCTCTCTGGCCTCTCTCTGGTCTCTCTCTGGTCTCTCTCTGGTCTCTCTCTGACCTCCCCCTGGTCTCTCTCTGGGCTCTCTCTGGGCTCTCTCTGGGCTCTCTCTGGTCTCTCTCTGGTCTCTCTCTGGTCTCTATCTGGCCTCCCCCTGGTCTCTTTCTGGTCTCTCTCTGGTCTCTTTCTGGTCTCTCTCTGGTCTCTCTCTGGCCTCTCTCTCGTCTCTCTCTGGTCTCTCTCTGGTCTCTCTCTGACCTCCCCCTGGTCTCTCTCTGGGCTCTCTCTGGGCTCTCTCTGGGCTCTCTCTGGGCTCTCTCTGGTCTCTCTCTGGTCTCTCTCTGGTCTCTATCTGGTCTCTATCTGGCCTCCCCCTGGTCTCTCTCTGGCCTCCCCCTGGTCTCTCTCTGGCCTCCCCCTGGTCTCTCTCTGGCCTCCCCCTGGTCTCTATCTGGCCTCCCTCTGGTCTCTCTCTGGCCTCCCCCTGGTCTCTCTCTTGTCTCTTTCTGGTCTCTCTCTGCTCTCTCTCTGGGCTCTCTCTGGTCTCTCTCTGGTCTCTCTCTGGTCTCTCTCTGGTCTCTCTCTGGCCTCTCTCTCGTCTCTCTCTGGTCTCTCTCTGGTCTCTCTCTGGTCTCTCTCTGGTCTCTCTCTGGCCTCTCTCTCGTCTCTCTCTGATCTCTCTCTCTGGTCTCTCTCTGGTCTCTTTCTGGTCTCTCTCTGGCCTCTCTCTCGTCTCTCTCTGGTCTCTCTCTGGTCTCTCTCTGGTCTCCCTCTGGTCTCTCTCTGGTCTCTCTCTGGTCTCTCTCTGGTCTCTCTCTGGCCTCTCTCTCGTCTCTCTCTGGTCTCTCTCTGGTCTCTCTCTGGTCTCCCTCTGGTCTCCCTCTGGTCTCTCTCTGGTCTCTCTCTCGTCTCTCTCTCGTCTCTCTCTAGTCTCTCTCTGGTCTCTCTCTGGTCTCTCTCTCGTCTCTTTCTGGTCTCTCTCTGGTCTCTCTCTGGTCTCTCTCTGGTCTCTCTCTGGTCTCTCTCTGGTCTCTCTCTGGTCTCTCTCTGGTCTCACAGTCCTCTTTCAGAGCAGAACACCTTGTTTAGACTCTCCGTTCTTTGTCTGTGATGTCACCAAACCACACAGTCACAGAACCAACAAGCAAAGAGATTATAATTATAAATATGAATAATATATGGTTCTATGATGATGATGATGATGGTTTGATTAGTAAAAGCTCTGAAACAACATTAATATAAACATACTCTGTACAAATCAAGTGCATATTATTGTGAATGTCACTGTTTAATAAATGTAAATACTCAGCTGCAGCAAACACATCACTGAAGTTCATTTAGAATACAAAATAAGTTGTGGGATTTTAAAAGTCTTTACTTCTTCCCTCTCCTTTTCGAGCTGGATATTTGTTTACAGTTCGACAGTAAGTAGGTCATGTTTATTCATAAAGCACATTTTTACAGACCAAGGTCACGCAAAGCACTTTACAATGTTCAGAGTTCAGATATAGTTCCATTCTCTCCACACGGTGATGACAGAAGCGAGACCAGAACACACTGGTCCATCAAAGCCTCCGACCAAACACCATCCATTCAGACCTATTGTGCACGTTTTTAGTGGAAGGGTAAACCGGAGCGCCTGGAGGAAACCTACGCAGACATGGGGAAAACATGCAACTCCCTGTTCCGACCGGGATTCAAACCCAGGACCTTCTTGCTGAGAAGCGAGAGTTTACTGTACACTTGATCCACCTCAGCATGAAAGCACAGTCGTATTTATTCACGTTTTTTTCTGGATATTATGAGTTCTAACATGAAAAAACTTTGACTGGGATTATTTATAATTCATTATTTTGTTCAGCATTCTTTTTGGCCTCTTTCAGATCAGGTACTGAAAAATAAAACTGTCTTTTTTCTGGTTGTGGTGTGTGTTTGGATGCCGCAGATGCCTTGGCCTGGTTCAGCCCGGGTCAGGCATGGGTTCTGTGCTCACCTGAAGTCGCCCTTGTTGTTGGTGATGCGGTCGTTGGGACAATACGGAGCTGACGTTTCCAGGACGACAATCTCCATCAGTCTCGAGCTGTTCCCGCGGAGACTGGAGACGGAGCACTCCCAGTTCCCGGCCAGAGACACGTCCATGTTGGAGAGGACCAGCTCGCTAAAGATGGAACAGACGGAAGAGACAGGGACGAAAACAACATTACAAAATATCTCAATCCTAAAAACTGGTTTAAAGGAGCAATCTGTAAAAATGTGGCCAAAAGTGGTACTGCAGCCTCTCCCACTCTCCCTGACTCAGGTTGCCAGATATGCAGACGAATCCAGCTGGGACCATAACAGCTGAATAGACAAGAGTTTTGTCAACAACAAATCTATAACCAACACCTTTTTCACAAAGATAGAAATCCTGGTTTTATCCCATGTTTTGTCGTTACACACAAAAATAAAACATAAAATTATTAAATCCAGTAAATGCACAACAACAAATGCCTTTGAAACATTCCCGATTTAAAAATGTAAAAAAAGTCCATCTTTTGCCTCCTCATGTTTAGTCCTGACTCTGAGGAGCACAGGGACTGGCCTCCTGCTGGGACTCTGAGGAGCACAGGGACTGGCCTCCTGCTGGGACTCTGAGGAGCACAGGGACTGGCCTCCTGCTGGGACTCTGAGCACCAGCAGGAGTCCAGTCCCTGTGCTCCTCAAAGTCAGGACTAAACTTGGGGAGGCAACAGTTCAGATTTTTGCAGCTAAAATCTGGAGTCTTCTTGAAAATGTGAGACAGGCTTTTACGCTGAAAATGTTACTAATGATTTTATTGTTACTTTTCTTGTTCTGTTAAGCCTGTTGAGTGGCCTTATGTACAAACTGTGCCATACAAATAAACTTTCCTTGGTCACTAAATCACACACATTATTCTCCAGTTTTTCATATTTTGATGCCATTCATAAAAAAAACTCTCTCTGAGAAGGCCGGGCTCAGGTCAGACTCTCACACACATCTTTTCCACATTAATTCTGCACTTCCTATATTTTTGATAACAATATTTTTCCGATATCCCGTCAATCCTTTCTGTCAAACACTTTCTTTTGTCGCATTCGAGGAACCCGAGGCTTAACATGTCGTCTTTGACTCACAATCATCATCACTCGGGCTTATCTCCGCTCAGTCTCAGCGATCGCTATCTCACTCAAACACTCTGATTAAACAAAGGCCGCTGAAACAATGACAAACCGTGGACGTGGCCCGGCTCCAAGTATCGCACTAATCTGACGGATTTCTCTCCTCGACGGGAAAATACTCTTGACACTGCAAAAACCCATGGAGAATTTTGCCGACTCAGCCATTTGTGTTTCGGAGGTGGTTGTTTGGAGCGCTTTAGCCGCTGTGTAGCACCGGGGCTGGATTTATACAGAGCGTTGTCAATACATGAGGGTTTTGGAATGACATTTTTAACAATGCACTCGTCTCACTTTATCCCACTTAAACCCAATAATAATAATAATAATAATAATAAAAATGATGATGCATTGGTTTTATAACACCATTTTAAAGTAAATCAGTCCTGCACTGATTTTAACTAACTGTAATCTGTATATTTGCATATTGTCTTTTGTATTATTATTATTATTGTGTGACCTGCCTCGGTACTACTACTCGGGACTACAGCACCTTTCAGGACACTCAAAGTCTCTTCACATGTCATTATTCTCTCTCTCCAAACACGGTGGTGATAAACTACTACTATAGCCACAGCTGCCCTGGGGCACACTGACAGAATTAAGTAATTACGTAAGTAATGTTTATTTATATTGTGCATTTTACTGACCAAGGTCACTCAAAGTGCTTTACAATGTTCAGAGTCCAGAACACACTGGTCCATCAAAGCCCCAACCAACACCATCCATTCACTCTCTCATTTACATTCAGACTTATTGTGCATGTTTTTAGTGGTAGGGGAAACCGGAGCACCCGGAGGAAACTTACGCAGACACGGGGAGAACATGCAAACTCCACTCAGAAAGACCCTGGTCCGACCGGGGTTTAAACCCAGGACCTTCTTGCTGAGAGGCGAGAGTGCTATCCACTCAGCCACCGTGCCGCCCAGAGAAAACCCAGAACCTTCTTGCTGAGCAGCGAGAGGGCTAACCACTCAGATAACCAGTTTATGCCTTTAGCCCCTCCCACCACCACCAACCACTCACACACACACCAGACTCATTCTAATGTGGGGAAAGTGTCTTGCCTAAGGACACAGCCACAGTTTAGCACTTTACAGCCGCAGCCGCCCCACTGAGGCACCTGCTGTTCCCAGAGGTCTCCCATCACAGTACTACCCAGGCCCTGCTCTGTACAGCTTCAAAGGTCTGACTGGATCTGACTTTCACCTGCACAGACTGTAAATGACCAGACCAACTGTGGCTCCTGCTCCCAGAGGTCTCCCATCACAGCCCTAACCAAACCATACCCTGCTTAGCTTCAAACCCGGACACAGAACTAACGTTTCCCCAACTTTATTTATAAAAAATCAGCAGAAATCTTGATGACTTTAGAAAAAACAAAACCAAGACTTTTTTCTTTTTCCCAAATGCTGCCGGTTTTTCTCGATCCACAACAAACGAACCCAGGGATTAAATGAAACAGACCATGTGTAGTATCATTTATATCGCACTGATCGCGGTGCAGCTGCCGGGGCCTCGACATTCTTCAAAGCAGCATCTCGGTGAATCAGAGGCGTTTTGCAGCCAGTTGGAATAATTGGTGACTTCCAGCTGCGAGACCATGGATTATGTTCCCAATGAAAGCTGAATTAACGGGACATCCCATATTTGCATTATTAATAAAGCCTTCGCTGCACTGTCGCTTTCCCGATAACAGTTATATACAGTATTTACGATAAAAGGTTTAGTTTTGCACAGATGACCCACAGATGCTGAAGTTTGTTTTATGGCTGAAGTTTGAGAGAAAGTGAGATTGGGGTAAAGTATAGAACTGTAATCTGTGAGTGGGATTTCACAAAACAAAAACACATTAGACCAAAGTTTATTGATCCACAAGGGAAGTGACGTGAACACTTTATAATCGAATCTGTGTTTAGTAGAACGTTTGCTTTTGTGAGGTCTTCAACAACAGGCTTCAAAAACCAGACTTAGACCAAGAACTAATTAGTTAAACATGAGAATAGTTAGTGGCAAAAACAGATGAGTGCCATTAGATTTTTTTTTTGGAAAGTTTATTGAAAAGCTCGGTGTATTTGAGTGCTGTACAGATAATATTTCACCCCTTGTTGAGCAAATCCTTTCACATTTACTGCCAATAATAAAACATGTGGATTATTGTCGCTGCAGAAAAACAACTTTTTGATAGATTTTCAAAACAGAGATATTTGTTTTTGCAAATGGACTCATTATTTATACTATATTCTGAATTATGCTAAAGCTACATATTTTATTTTAGTATTGAGTTATTGTTCACTTGTCTTTTGTCTGTTTCTTATTCCTACTGTTTTTTTAAGTAGCGATATGTAATATTTTCATGTCAAGTTCTCATTAAAGGGCCCAATCAGAAAGTCCGTGATCCGTGGCACGCTCTCTGCCAAAACAATTTCCAAGTGGTAACTTTTTTGTATGTGTGTGTTAAGTATTTGTAGTATTATAATTTTGACTTTAATTTTTTGCATTATTATTATTACTGCCTATTATTTTTTATTGTTGTAGTTTTCAATTATTTTGTTTTTGTTTTATTTTAACTTGACTGTATCTACTCTGCTATCCTATGTTCTTTGGATATGATCATGAGGACCCCCCACGAAAACGAGAAGATACATCTCATGGGGTTTATCCTCCAATAAAATGTCCATAAATAAATAAATGAATAAACTTTTGTTTGTTACTTAAGTGATACTTACGTACCTGATTCTGATTCTGATGTGGCGCAGAACTAAAAAAGATCTCGTTATGATTCTCAAATCAGTAACGACAAAACAAGGAATAAAACCAGGATTTCTGTCTTTGTGAAAAAGGTGTTGGTTATAGATTTGTTGTTGACAAAACTCTTGTCTATTCAGCTGTTATGGTCCCAGCTGGATTCGTCTGCATATCTGGCAACCTGAGTCAGGGAGAGTGGGAGGGGCTGCAGTACCACTTTTGGCCACATTTTTACACACCGCTCTTTTAATCTTGCAAAGAGCTAGACCAAGAGCAAGTACAACTGGTTCCAGAAAGGGCTGGTGTAGCTACAGGTTTTTCAGTCCAACTAAGCAGGAGCAACTCCAGACTCCACTCATCTCCTCAAGTCTTCAGTTTAAGACTGGACTTGTTTGAAGAAATGGGTCAAGTCCAGTGCACTCCGGCTTCGTTGGAGTTAAAACCTGCGACGCCGGCCCTTTAAGGACCGGTTGGAAACCCCTAGACCAGGCGTCTCCAACCTTTTTCACCCAGAGAGCTACTTTCCTGAGACGATAAAGGCAGAGAGCTACTCCTTTTAGCGAACCCTGGGAATAATTTTGTGATATATTGGTGTGAACGAGTCTGATTTTGGGGACAGTCATATTTATCATCACATATTTGTTACTAGTGACAAAGTAAGCGTTTTGCTGACTTGTTCATTTCAAATGCTCAGTGACAGACAAGATGAATGTCCGAATGAGACACAGACAGACACTATATAAACCTGAAACATCTGCAGTTGGCTTCCCAGACACTACAATGTCCAAACAGAGACCCTAATTTCCGAGGACATTTTTTCTTCAGGGACAATAAAGCACAATTTCACTTCCCTTTAAAAAAAATGCATCATAATGCCTTTCCTGCCTTTGAAGAGAGCAGTCGTGTGTCTCTCGGCTCTGCTTTTGCTTCGCCTTTTAATCTCCTTGAATAATTTTATTTACATTTTTTTGTTTCTCCTTTAATCATTTTATTTACAAAACGAGGATTACTCCTTCTACACACTTCAGCTTTGTGGAATTTATCAACTTTAGTCATGTCGGGACGAAAGAGACGGAGAAACGTCTGCGACGGCTGTTGTGCTTTGGAAAATCAGCTCAAATCTCTTCAAACACGGATATCTATTGTGGAAACAGAAATGGGACTTAACCCGACTCTTCCAATGAGTGAAAATGGGATGAATGGACAGACTGGAAATGTAAGTTATGACGTCATT